CCAGCCAGCCGTATGACTCATTTATTTTATCCTATAAATCTGCAAATCCTGTTTGACTAGTAAAAAGGCAGGGCAGGAAAAAGTGGTTGTAAATGTTTTGTACAATGACTTGCTTTATCACACCACCATTGCCAAATCTGAAATCTGTAGCCCATGAGCTGTGAAACACTTCAGATGGATCTAGACTTATTTTATATCCTGCAGATGCTTAAGGAAGTTGCTATCTTTCTTTTCAGGGGGTTTGCAGGGGGAGATTTTCAAGAAAAAAAGTAGTTAGGTCAATCTCACTTAATCCAGTTTTAACATGAACTGTTAGGATTCAAATACATTTTCACAAATGATATAAGGGTTGTGTTTTCACTTCCCAAATAAGAGTCCTGAAGATCAGAACTAGCCTCTGAACGAAAATTTCCAATTTCCCTTCTGCATGTGGGGGTGGGGGAGAGCAACATCTGCAAGTAATGCATTAGGGATGAAGAGGAATTCTTAACGTCACTCATGAAAATGCACTGTGAGTCTATAAATAATACAGTGGATTCTGCTAACTGGTTCACATCTTGTGGCCAACCCATAAGTCTGACTGACAATTGGTAATGCACGCTTCCCCTATCCCTATCCCCGCCCCACCCTGCCCTCACCGTACCATCTCGCTCGCCCAGTAATGTGGCTGGGTCTCTCAGCATCAGAGCTCAGTGGATGCAGCCACTCCCTGGAACAAAGATTCGAAAATCTCCTTGATTGTCACAGGAGATTATGGCCTCACTGCTCTGAGGGGAGGGGGCATGTTGATGGGCAGCCATCCTTTCCAACCGCTTATGGACAGCATCTGAGTGGGGCTTTTGGATGTGAGTCAGGAAGCACAAGGCGGGACTGGCCCTCTCCTTCCTGGGCCACTGTGGAGTTAAAATGCTCTGAAGAAGAGCTGCTTGCCTGCTCCCTGCTCTCTCTGCTTTAGCACCATCTATGATTGAGTTGCATATAATCCTGAGGATTATGGCTGTGGCCCACGCCCTCCCTCCCTCCCTCCACCCCCCTCTGTTCACTTTCCCTTAATATTCTGGATATATTCAACAATAAAAACCCTGAAAATCCCCAAAGCGTCTAAACCTCCCAGGAAGAGAATCACTTGTTACTATAAAAATATATATATCTGCCATCGGCGCCAGCTGCCTCCAGCCCCATACTGTGCTCTGTGGGATGGGGGGGACTTAGCAGCCATGGGCAACTGCACCAAAACACCGGGCAGGCGGCTCTCCAAGGTAGGGGGAGAGGACGGAGGGGAGGGTGCCCCTTTTCAGCCTTACATCTTCATGCCTTTGTGTTGGAATCCCTGTGTGTGTCTGGTTCTTTGCATGTCTGTCTGTCTACTTTCCTCGCTTCCCAGAGTGTGTGCATGGATTCCTGTCAGTGGTTGAAGCCCCATGGCTGAGGTCCGTTATCTGAGGGAACATGGCGAGAATGATAGGCCCCTGTGGTACCACTCCAGATGGGGGGCTGTGGCATCATCTCCGATTCCTACGAAGGCCAGGTTCCAATGTTCCAGGTTATTAGAATGAAGGTACGGTAGATGTGTTCTTTAGAATAGGGTAGTTTCTGCAGAAGGCTTCAGTGACCCCCTTTTCTCCATCTACTTGGTCCCCTTTTCTCCATCTACTTAGTCCTTCTTAGGCCAGCATCTAGATCCTCTTTGCTTTTTTTGCATCTAAGCAAACAGTAACAACCTCAAACTCCTAGATTTCATTCAATGCTTCCTTCTTCTCTTGGTGTATCATACAAGGCCTGTTTGTGGATTGTGTCAATGAAGATTCAACCAGGTGAGACTCAGTATGCTCCTGATATAATTCTATGGGTTCTGATATAGTTCTATGGGTATTGGGTGCCACAATGTATGGTATCTCTCATATTCTTGCATGTCATTGTATGGTATGTATTGCCACCAGTGCCTGAGCAGAGAAGGCACATGACCAGTGGCAGATTTATGGTCTGGGGGACCTTTGGGAGGGGCCCCAGTTCATTCACTTAAATAAATGTGACCACGTCTGAAAATATGAAGGAGCTACCGGTAAATAATGAGTTAATTCATTACATGGATTATCCTTTTTTTTTTTTTTTTGCTATTGTTATAGAGCTGGGGTAACAGAGTTTGAGGGTGCAAGGGCACCCATAACTGCTAGAGTTAGTGAATACTAGAATTCAATAAAGTGTTATAATTTACATAATATTTAGCATATTGAAGGAAAGTTGCCAGGCCAGTAGAAAAATGCAGGCTTAGCTCCTTTTCCAGGCTAGGGGCTCACCGGGGATAGAAGCTGTTAAGCATGACAAAATGTGTTGGTGGCCCATCACAGGAAAATCCTTGGGTCTCTTCCAATGGAGGTTGCCACTGTTACACTGAGCGATGAAGAAGATGGAGGTCACCTTTTAAGACTAGGCTTGGAATAGCAGGTAGAAAGGGGACAAGCAGACAGAAGGGGAGCAGTTCCTTGGCAAGGGTTTTTTCTGGGAAGGAGAAGCAGGAAGGGGAGATCGCCATGTGGCGCTGGCTGAAAGATGCTGCGCTGAAAGGCCAGGGGTGTAGCGTGGTGCATTTTCCTGGGGTGAGGCACGCTGCTCACACCACCCTCCCCAAGTCAGCCCTGTGCCACTTTGCAAGGCTGGGATCATTCTAGCCTCACAAAGCGCCTTGGGGCTGGAGGGCTGCTTTTGCCCTCCATGTCCTGCCCCCCCCCGGCACTCACATGCCCTGGCCGCTGTTCAGGCATGCTCCGCCACTGCCAGGGGCCATGACTGGGTGCTACTTTAGACCCAGGCTCACTGTAGCTATGAGAAGGGCAATGAGGGACACTCTTGGGGTGTAATGTTCTGCCTCCCCTCTATTGAAGGCTTCAGATGTAAATATGTGTAAAATGAACCTGCCACTTCCCTCCTCCTCGCATCCGTCACTGCCAAAAAGGCAGCATTGGTGTGAGGTGTGCAGTGACAGCAGAGCAGGACAGTTGTTGGGGAGCTGCCCTAGTCTGTCCTTGGCATGAGCCCCATGGAGATACAGTGGTACCTCAGGTTACCACAAACACCTCAAGTTACAAACACTTCGAGTTACAGACTCCGCTAAACCAGAAGTAGTACCTCGGGTTAAGAACTTTACCTCAGGATGAGAACAGAAATCGTGCGGCAGCAGCTGGAGGCCCCATTAGCTAAAGTGGTACCTCAGGTTAAGAACGGTTTCAGGTTAAGAACGGACCTCTGGAACGAATTAAGTTTGTAACCAGAGGTACCACTGTATCCTGGTGGGATTGGTCAGATGAGAAGGAAGAGTGGGAAGAAATCAGAGAACTGGAGGGCAGCAGCCCACAGAAGGGGTCCAGCAAGCTGGGAGGCAGTGGTTAAGATCTGTGAGAGATCTCCAACCCTGCAAATGCTAGGAAGCAGTTTGCCCCCATTTTTGTATATATCAATATTATTGAATTTAAGTGTGTGTGTGTGTGTGTGTGTGTGAGAGAGAGAGAGAGAGAGAGAGAGGGAGAGAGAGAGACAGAGAGGGAGAGAGAGAGAGAGGGAGAATACCACAGTAATAGCCACATTACCACAGTTTAACCACATGAGGGACCCATCAACTACGGTATACCATCCAACCATATGGGTGAGGATAATGTTACTATACATATGGTCCTCTTTTCCAGGGGCTGTGTGTGCAGTCCCCCCTAGTGAATTGCACTGGGTAGAGGTTCATCTGTATTTACTCAGAGTTAAGGGATATTAGCACTGCAAAGCTACATCAGTTTTATTCAGCTGTCATGACTTATCCCAAATAATGAGTTTAGTGAAATGCTGAGAATTCTGGTAAAGATCTCTGTGTAAAACCGCAGTTCCCTGGGAGTCCTTAGGGAAGGAAAAGGACTGTTTAATAAAATGTACGGTAAGTCTGTGGTGCAGATGTGTACGGAAAGATACAGAGGGACTGCCAAGAAACGTAGCAATTGTGCTAGTGCATGTTTCTTGTTGTTAGAGCATATGTGCCATTGCTTTGTGTGTTAGAGTGTGTGAGAGAGAGCAAGAGAGCTAATTGTGGCATCTCTCTCTGTATAGTATGTGGAGACATTTCCCCTAGGAGGACTCAGATTCAGATGACTCACAGGCCATCTCATGGGGGGGGGGAGCTCTGGGTATTCCCTTCTTCACTGTCCTGGTGGCAGTGGTGGATTTAGGACAGCCAAGGGTCCCCTTCCAACCTTCCCAAAGCCTAGTAAGTGCTGGGCTTTGGGAAGGAGGCATGAGAGCTATGAGAGGGTCCTAGAGTCCTCCTACCTCCTTCTCAAAGCTGAGTTAGCACTTGCCCAGCTATGGGAAGGAGTCAGGGGACTCCAGGACCCTGCCAGATCCCTGTGCCTCCTTCCCAGCCTGGCACCTCCCTTACCTGGTTTTGGGAAGGCGACTTGGGGCTTTGAGGGCGTTAAATTTTGGCCCCACACAGGGCACCATATTACCATAATGCCTGTGAATTTCCTGTAGCTTTTCCTTAAAAACTAGCCAACAGCTGTCCTGGGGGCAGAGCCAATGGAAGGCAAGTTGTTGCCAACTTTCTTAAGCCTTCTGATAATTCTTGTTCTCTGTTGCTAGGCTGGCCTGCAGGACCAAGTTTCAGCTTATCAGCAAGACACAGATCCTTATGAATCTTTATGGTTTTTACATAGGAGGACAACAAAACCACAAAAAACCCCAGAACACATATTTGAAAATAGAGACATTACCTATAATTTGATGGTTGTTTTTGGGGGGGAACCCTTGCAATAATAATAATAATAATAATAATAATAATAATAATAATAATAATAATAATAATAATTTATTTATACCCCACCCATCTGGCTGGGTTTCCCCAGCCACTCTGGGCGGCTTCCAACAGAATATTAAAATACAATAGTCTGTCAAACATTAAAAGCTTCCCTAAACAGGGCTGCCTTCAGATGTCTTCTAAAAGTCTGGTAGTTGTTTTTCTCTTTGACATCTGGTGGGAGGGCATTCCACAGGGCGGGTGCCACTACCGAGAAGGTAGTGCCTTGGATCCATAAGGATTGCCCTGGAAGACACTGTATCTGTGATTTTTATGGGGCGGTCAATGAGGATAGAGGGGTTCAATGATTTGGGGATGGTTTTGCAGGGGAGGGGGAACTCACATTGAAATCACACAGTTTTAAGAGGCTCCATTTTGTTGGATCTAATGTGTATTCATTTGAACATGCATTCTCCCACCTCATAGTTGCTCTCTTTCCCTCTTCCAAATTCCTTCCCTTTCTCTGCTACGTTATTGGTTGCTTTACTTTCTGTCCATCTGCTCAGGTGCCAACCTGAACTTTGAAAAGCTCTTTGAACTGAGAGAGGAAGCAAGAGGGAGTGTCGCTCTTTCAACTTCCTCCTTCAGCTTCATGAACTTTTCAGTGAGAAAAATGGTAATTATCCTCACCATCTCATGACAAAGGGGGCAGTGGGCGATGTGGGGGTAGGGAGCTCAAAGGCTTTGTGGCCACCAGAGGAAGACCTTGAGGGCCCCAGGTTGGGGACCCCAGCATTGTGGAGATGGAGGTCTGCCTAATTGTGGCAATTGCCCAATGAGCAGAGATGCTGAGGCACTGAGATAAATTTAAGGATGAGAAAAATGGGTTTCTTTTAGGGGGAAATTGTGTTATTTCTCTAGCATATGTCTTGTTTCCCCCTTTGTTGCTCCCTTTCCCATACTCTCCATTACCAGATACCCTGCTTCCCTAAAGCCTGGGCCTTAAACACCCAGGTCCTGAGAGAGGGGGAAGTCGGGGTCTCTAACTGTACTTAGCTAATTGCAAGCTATGCTACAGGAGAATAAGCAGCCCTCCGCTGAGGCTCCCGGCTCCCCTGCCTCTACCAGCAACGACATGGACGAAGGGGCTGACGGCACGCAGTATCCGCCATTGCAGAATTACTCGGTCCTGCATGGCTTGGTGGGGCCAGCCTGCATCTTCTTGCGCCAGAGCATCGCCATCACGCAAATCGTATGTATTGCACATCTACTGCTGCTGCACCATTTATAGTGAGCGTGAGAGTGTAGCTGCCCCTTCTCTCTTTGCATGGACTGCCCTGCTCCTCAAACCTTCAGTATGCCCCTGTGCTGGAACATAGCGTGGGCCTGTTGTTGTTGTTGTTATTTATTAAATTTGTGTACCGCCCTATACTCGTAGATCTCACAACATAAAATCACAATATAAAAAACAGAAAACACATAATAAACGCAAAAACAAAGACAACCCAATAATTAAATCTTACTCTTTCTTCCCTGCGGAGTAATCTTCACTAAGGAATAAACATGGATAAGGTGGCATAAGAAATCAAACATAAGTGTTATATTTTGCTACAGGTCTACAAATTGGGAGGTTGATGTGTGCCGCCGCTGTTCAATCCATGGACTTATGGAAGAGAAATCGTTCATGCCATGATCTAAAACCATGCAGATTGTGTTTTGCAGTATATAAACTAATTCCTACATGGAAAAAGGCTAGTGAAAGGGTGCCTTCACTGAGTCCATGTTGCACAGGTTAACAGCCAGGCAATGAGGCAATGTTGGTGATGATCGGCACTTTTGTTTACGGCTTTAAATGGTGCAAAGCTCTTCACATACATTATCTTATTGCAATCTTTACCCTGTAAGGTGGGATAGTAGTAAATACCTATATATTACAGATATGTGGGAAGGGGGGCAGGCTGTGGTTGACAGCGCGAGCGATTTCCTTAAGGTCTTCAAGTGAGTTCATGGAAAAGCCATGGCAAAGGGTTTCCTAAAACAGGGGCCATTCAAATGCCCTTTCTTTGGTGCATCCATGATTATTTGTGTTCATTATCGTATGCTATTGGGGCCGTCAAGTACATTCCTGCTTCCAATACTGGGAAGGTTTCACTTTCATTCAGTGTATGCCCCATAACATCCTTCTGCAACCACACAACTTTTTTATACCACAAATATTCTGACTTATTTCTGCCCTGCTTTTGTTGTGCTGTAGCCTTTCTTGACAGTAACACTGTGAGAGCATTGGAGCAACATTGCAGAACAAACTACAGCAGAACTGTATAATTAATGCACTTTTATTGTGGCAAGAACGTGTTGCAAAATACACCCATACAGAGCACTCGCCTGAGGGGGCTGTTAATAATCTCTTAGCCACTGACACGCACCAGCCTTTGGGCTGCATTACACAAACACCAAGCCTAGGAAACTATCACTGGAAGAACAACTCTTGCCCCTATTGCCTTTCTGCAGGGAGCCAGAAGGGCTTTCCTCCAGGGAATTTGTAGCCACAGTATTCTGACACAATATTTGCATGGAATCCAACAGTGATGCAGTGTGACTTGGTAGGAAGCCCCTTTAAGCGAGGTGGGACTTATTTTGAAGTAAGCACACACAGAATCAGGATGCACGGAGTAACAGTTTTTTTCTGTTCATAGAGAGGGCAAGGAAGACTTCCTTAATCTGGGACAGCTTCTGACTAAGAGATCAGTAGATTGGATGTGGGCAGGCAAAGTAGATAGATAGATGATAGATAGATAGATAGATAGATAGATAGATAGATAGATAGATAGATGATAGATAGATATAGATAGATGATAGATGATGATAGATAGATAGATAGATAGATAGATAGATAGATAGATAGATAGATGATATAGATAGATAGATGATAGATAGATAGATAGATAGATAGATAGATAGATAGATAGATGATAGATGATAGATAGATAGATAGATGATAGATGATAGATGATAGATGATAGATGATAGATGATAGATAGATAGATAGATATCTGTTTTATCAACCTCTACTCTCTTTCTTTCCCCAGGACAGAGAACTGCGACCAGAGGAGATCGAAGGTAATAAGAAAATTGATGCTCAACATTACCTCTTAGGGTCGGGTTAGCCAACATGGTGCCCTCCAGATGTTCCTGGCCTACAACACCCATCATCCCTGATAATTGGCCATGCTGGCTGGTGCTGATGGGATGTGTAGTCCAAGAACATCCGGAGGCCACTGCGTTGGCTAACCTTGTCTTTGGGGAACCTCATGGATCCTGTCTTGCTCATTAGTCATTAGTCCAACCAACCAGAAGTCTACTGCATCTGCTATGCTTCACTCAGCTTCTTTGGTTTTGCTTAATGTTCTGCCTTGTTGCTTTGTCAACTTGCCTCTGGCTTCCTTATGCTTTGCTCCCATTCTAGTTGTATGAATCCCTTGCTTTGCTTTCCCCCTTCGCCTCTCCTGGGCCTACCACCCCATCTGGAGGGCAGCTATCAGATATCCAGTTCAGTTCCTTGACTCTAATTATGGACTCAGCCCTCATACAAATTTCTGATTGGACTAGCATTGAAAATCCCTCTAGTGGCATTCCTGTTGTTGTTGTTGTTGTTGTTGTTGCTGCTGCTGCTGCTGCTGTTGTTAATATGCCACCTATCTGACTGGGTTGTCCCAGTCTCTGGGCAGCTTCCAACAACATCAAACACAGTAGAACATCAAACATTAAAAACTTCCCTATACTGGGCTGCATTCAGATGTCTTCTAAAAGTCAGATAGTTGTTTATGTCCTTGACATCTGATGGGAGGACCTTTCACAGGGCGGGCACGACTGCTGAGAAGGCCCTCTGCCTGGTTCCCTGTAACCTCACTCCTCGCAGAAGGCCCTCAGTGCTGTACCTGAGTATCCAGGCTGGACAATGGGGGTGGAGACGCTCCTTCAGGTATACCGGGCCAAGGCCATATGTCCCTGGAGCTGAACTCCAAAAGTGAGGAAGGGCTGTTGATGAAACATAGCAGCTCCTTCACTGTGTAGCAAATCAGATGCTAACTCCATCACTCCCTTCTCATTTACTTGGTGTTTGCAAGACACAGATGCATTACCTGCTTTCCAGGGGGATTCTTATTGCTTCCCTTCTCTTTCCAGAGCTAAAGGAGGCCTTCCGAGAGTTTGACAAGGACCATGACGGCTACATCAGCTACAAAGACCTGGGGGAATGTATGCGAACCATGGGCTACATGCCCACTGAGATGGAGCTCATTGAATTGTCTCAGCAGATCAGTATGTGCCTAGCATTATTGAGTTAAATACTACAGTATGATGTTTCAGGGGGAAGAAATGGATTTTCACAGTTGCTGGATCTAGTTTGGCATTCAAGCAAAATGACCACAGACAAAAAGGGGGAGGGGAGGATGCAAACACTTCTTAGATATCTCTCCTTAGAGTAGAGGTAGGGAACCTGTGGCCCTCCAGATGTTGTTGGAGTCCAGATCCCATTAGCTGCAGCCAGCATGGCCATTGATCCATGATGCTAGAAGTTATAATCCAGCAATAGTTGGATGGCCATGAGTTTCCCACAGAAATGTCAGAGGGGATGAGGCGACAGCACTAGACTGTGGCCTAATAATAGTGTTTAAGCATCTGTATAGGGTGTTCAAAGCATTTTGCACATTATCATCTCAGTAATCCTTACGACAACCCTGTAAGGTAAGAGATGTTTATTACTGGAGATGCCTGGCTCGATCGATCAGTTACTTTGCATGTACAGTGGTACCTTGGGTTAAGAACTTAATTTGTTCTGGAGGTCTGTTCTTAACCTGAAATTGTTCTTAACCTGAAGCACCACTTTAGCTAATGGGGCCTCCTGCTGCCGCCGCGCCGCCAGAGCACAATTTCTGTTCTCATCCTGAAGCAAAGTTCTTAACCCAAGGTGCTATTTCTGGGTTAGCAGAGTCTGTAACCTGAAGCGTATGTAACCCGAGGTACCACTGTATAATAAACTCAGTTTGGCAGGAGCAGCACCTAATTACCAAGTGCAAAATGGTGGTGTGAATCAGCTGATGCAAGGACATGTTCTCTGATGCAAGGACTCAAGAGTTTGCATTCATGGGAGCCTATTCACTCTCCTGGTTTGCTGCATAAGCAGATAAATTCCACACAAGAAGTGGCAACGGAGAGGGTAGGGATGGGAACGGCAGCACAAATGGGAAAATTCTTCCATTATGTTGGTTGTGAATTGTCCCAGAGTATAATTATATATACTATAATATCTAACCCAGCACTGTCTGGCTCTGGCTGAAACTGTTTTTCTGCATCTATAGCTGGAGGGAAGGTGGATTTTGATGACTTTGTGGAACTGATGGGCCCCAAGATGCTGGCAGAAACGGCAGACATGATTGGGGTGAAAGAACTGCGGGATGCCTTCCGAGAGGTGAGAGTCACATGACTCAACTTGAGGGACCAGAGGAGGGTAGCATCAGACGGTGGGTGACTGGGTGGTATCTTGAGGAATCTTATTTCTCATTCCACTGTCCTGTCTTCTCATATAGTGGTTCTCCCAGGCAACACAAAACACAAACGTAGGGTTACTATATTCCCAAAAGTGAAAATCCAGACAAAGTTGGCTTTTTTTTGGTCAAAGTTTTTGAGCTTTTTGGGGGTGCTTTTTTTTTTGGATTTTTACAGCATTTTCCCTTAAAAATTGCCATAGTTGCCGTATGTCTGGGTTTCCCCAGACATGTTGCCAGTTGGGCAAAAGTCTGCCCAGAATGATGCCATTTTGACAGTCTGATTCCGGGAAAACCTGGATGTATTGCAGCCCTACACAAACAGTTCTCAGCTGCTTCATTTGATTTCATCAGTGCCACTTAAAGCACTTCACTCTTGCTGTTGGTGTACATGTGTGGATGTCAGTGACAATCATGAAGGAAAGTGGATTGACACTGTCACTTCAGCCTTCCTGAAGTTTTTCTGCCACCTGAGAACAGTGCACCCACCCAACCATCATTTTGTGATTTGGACTCTTCCAGAAGATGGGGTTGTTCAGCATTCATCCTGATTTGCTTACACAAAGTTTAAGCCATGGTTAGACTAGTCTTTATGGAGCATTTGTTTAGATTTCATGGAATCTGTAGCGTAGACAGGGGCCCCGAGGGTCATCTAGTACAACCTCCTGCAATGCAGGAATCTCAACCAGATCATACATGACAGATGGCCATCCAAACTCTTCTTAAAAACCTCCAAGGAAGGAGATTTCACCACCTCTCATGGGAGTCCGTTCCACTGTCCAACAGCTATTGCCGTCAGAAAGTTCTTCCTGATGTTTCGTCGGAATCCCCTTTCTTGTTGTTTGTTTACAGGGTAATTATATAAGAATCAACCTTCATCCTGATTTTCTTACAGGGTGTTTACATGTCTTCCCAGTAAGCATTCATTCATCCTGCACTTTTTAATGTGTTTTTCTACTACTTTCCAAAGTGCAAAAAGTCTTCTTCTTTTTATAAAAAAAGGTGGTTTTGTCTTTCCAAGAGAACAATATGCTTCCATCTACTTCAGTTGCGCTCAGGGAGGTGAGCACAAGAGACTGGAAAATTGTGTGGATATGGTAGATGGTTAAACAAGGTGCTGGAATCAGGGTTGTTTATTTGTTTCCTTCCAGTTTGACACAAATGGCGATGGACAGATCAGCATAGCTGAGCTAAGGGAAGCCATGCGCAAACTCTTGGGACAGCAGCTGAACTACCGTGAGGTGGATGAGATACTCAAAGATGTTGATCTGAATGGGGATGGCCTTGTGGACTTTGAAGGTATCAGGAAAGCCCTTCCTTTGAGGGATGATGATGATTTGCTTTTTCTAACTGGGAAAGAAGTGAGGATTTAGGCTGGGAGGAGGATCTCATCCTGCTTTTGAAAACGAATGCAGGATGTAGAGTAGGGGTGGGTAACAAATTTGGCTCTTTGGGCTAAATCCTTATCTGACTGCCCCCCATGGGCCAACTTTGACTGTTGGATGGGACAACCCGCCTGTTGAATCACAGGATGCCATTATGACATCAAATGATTTGACAGGTGGGTTTTCCTCCCGACCTGTTAAAATCCTGTGTGCAGTAGTCCCCAAATGCCCAACAGGTTGCTGAATGTTGGAAACACTATTCTTGCCACTTTGAGAAGCCCCCAGGCATAGGGCTTTGTGAGTCCTGCCAAACCAATTTGAAGTCTGGCTTTTAGAGGTATTGATGGTGTGAGCAAGTTGCCTGCAGGGAACTTGTATGCAACTACCTCAGCAGGCTATGGCTTTGCCACCCATCAGCTGGTGCTTGAAGCTTGCTTTCCCTCGCCCATGCACTATCGCAGCCTTCTTGAAGTCTTACAGTGCACTGGCAGCCACATCTCTACCTGCCCCACACCTGACCTCACTGTGGGGCAGGTGGGCATGGTTTGGGTGAAAACAGCCTTATGGGCCACATTTGAACCCCTGGGTTGGGCCCAATTTTGGCCCCTGTTCCAGAAATTCCATACCTGCTATAGATCCTTGATGCAGGAAAGAAAAGGAATAAAGTCAAAACTGGATTTAGGAGGAGTCACTTCTAATTTTGAGGGGATAGTTGGGAATCGGATCATAAAGATAACATTTGGAAGCCAGGGTTCCTAGGTTTTATTTTAAACCAGAGGCTTATTAATATGCTAATATATTCCATGCTCTGTATGCACTTCCCTTCAGTTGAAGTTGCACAACTGAATGACAGAATCAGGTTTTGCCTATACAGTGATGGTGTCTTCAGTGACAGCACTCTTCCTTTTCCCATGCCCTTATGGGAGAAAGTTAATATGTTTATTATTCAGGGACATTACTACAGCAGAGACCAAATCAATTTGCACTCGGTGAAGCAAGGAAAGTGTTGAGCAGGTTTTGCCCTTCCTCAACAGTGTTGCTTCTCACAGCTGATTTACATTTTTAAATGTTTTATTGAAAGATTTTTCTGTAAGTAACAAAAGTACATTCAGTGCCTCTGTTTTTAAATTACCGGTATAGCATCCTTCATACCAATCAATTGCAGTTGGTATGAGACTTTTTTGTTGTAAACAATGTGGGGTTGGGGGGGGGAGAGGAGAGGGGAGAAAGTAGAAAAAGAGAAAGTTAGGAGGGGGAAGTAGGGGAGATGAGAGTCATTAAACATTCATTATTTGCAAACTATTGTTCTGTTAAGCTCATTGGGAATTTAGTGAGCCTCACTCTGCATAGCCCTGTCCTGGATTGTATTTCATGGCCATACTAGAGCAGCCTTTCCCAACTACGTACACTTCAGATGTTTTGCACTACATCTCTCATCATCCCTGACCATTGGCCATGCTGGGGCTGATGGGAATTGTAGTTCAAAACATCTGGAAGGCACCAGGTTGGGGAAGGATGCTCTAAAATGTGACGGAATGTTAGAAGAGTGGGATGGGATATATGGAACTGAGCTGGATGGATAGACAGACAGAGAGATGGTGGTTCCCATACATTCTCTAGTTATCTATAAAAGAAGTCCCTCTTCCGGGCTAGCAGCTGATAGAAAATGCTTTTCTCTCCCCTCCTGATGACATATTTGGATCCCCTTCCTGCAGAGTTTGTACGGATGATGTCTCGCTGAGAGCAGCCAGCAGCAGCAGCCCCAGGCTGAAGTGCCTTACGGAGAGGAGAGACTTCAAGCTGCTGTATATCCTGATCTAACCATCAGGAGCAATGGCAGCATGCGAGAACTTCCTACACATCCTGTGTACCCTGCTTGGAGCCAAACAGCCACTCCTAAAGTCCAGAGACTTGCATCAGCTTCAGCACCTTCAATGACATCCTTGACTGGATCTCAAGACTGATACCCCATCTACTGTTTTAGAGACAGCCACGACCCCAAGCTCTCAGGCTCCGGATGTCATTGTACCTTGCCTTTACTCTGTTCTCTGTAACGCTGACCTTTCACCCCAAGCATACCTTAAGAAGGAACAATCAACCAACAACAAAACTCTCTTAAATATTCTGCATGCAATGGTGTGACAATATTTGAAACGCTTCACCGTCCTATTCCAAGAGGGGCTGCTTTCCTTTCCTTTCCCCCTCTCTAAACGGTGTTTGTTTTTAAAAGTACATTCTTCTCCACTGTGGCATGCTCACCCCCACCTCTGACGTCCTTTCTAAGTACAGTGGAACAATGGCAAGGAGTTGGCTTGTGGTCCCAAACGGAACAGGGATTGTTCTGGAAACTGGATGGGCTGGCGCTCACTGCCTGCTATTAAGCCAACCTTTGTGACTTAATGGGATCTATGGTGCATGAATGTTCATTAGGTTTACTGGAAGTGGCAGCTGTGTGATCCAGAGGTGTTCGGCCCTCAAAAGATCTGGGATTCTGACATGCAAAACCTTTGCCTCCCAAAACCCAGGGACTGCTTCTGTCTCTACAAACGACAAGCTGCTTTATAGATTGCCCTTCAGCTAACTGACTATGGCATATTCAGCGGCCATATTTCCATCCATATTTGGAATCCCCATTTACTTGTGATTTTCAAACTGTGTTCTGGAGAACCCCTGGGGTTCCTTAGAAGCTTAACAGAGGCTACTCAATGAGAAAGTCAGGATGGATTTTCCAGCTTGCCCATTACTACCAACTGTCTTCTGAACTATGCAGCCTCAGGGGAGAGTTGGGTGAGCTCTAAGTGAACACCTCAGAATCCTTTGCCAAAATAAGAAGATTCAGTAGCAGATAAGTTGATGTGGGCAAAGTTGCCCAAAGTTAGAAAATCCCAGTGCTCTGTTGCTGGAAACATATTTTCACTTTCCTATTGAAAATCAAACTGTTCTGTCAATTCAAATTCTTGTTTCAGCTGAAAAGACCAGTGCATTGGAGGGAAGATGATGGCCTCAAACCTACATTTCCCTCTGTTGTGAATGTGACTCACATTGTTTATTTTTTTCTCACATATGTAATACCATACATTTAGCTGTATCCAAACACTTACTCAAGCAAGCTCAATAAATTCAGATTTGTGCATTTGGTTCATGCATATTATCCCTATTTTTTGTAGCTCCCTGGTAGACACAAAGATTAATCTTAGCTATGATCATACAAAGACCTACTGCTTTTGTCTATGTTAGGGCTGTTACCAGAGTAAAGAAATCTTATCATTTGTTTTCTGTGTCACAGTTGGCATTGTCTTAGAGATATACTGTCCTGTATGAGGAAGAACAAGGAATGCCTGAAAGAAGTGCCTCCTGCTAGTGATTAGCAGAATGGATTCAGCTAAGTTGATGTGCACACAGAATGAGGACCACTCATGCAATGGGACCTTCCCTCCTCTCCTCCCCAGTCTGCTCTGGAGTGTTGGGGGAACCCACAGAACAGGATTAGGGAGCGTGCAGGGCGAGAAGAGGGGGGAAGACCCATTGCACAAGCAGACCTAGTTCCACACATGTACTTAGGGCTATGTTGAATTCCACCCTATATATGTATTTAAAATGGGGGTAGGGTGGGGGGGGGGTGACCTGTTGTTGGACTCCTATTCCGTGCAGCCCTAGTGGTCAGAGATTATGAGAGCTATAGTCCAACAACATCTGAAAGACCACAGACTCCCTACTCTTGATGAAATACTTCTTTAAAATCCGCTGTTTGATTAATCAGGGACACTTATTTTAAATAATTTTAAAACCTTTTTATTTAGTATCTTATCGACCAATTAACTAAACAGCCTAGAAAGAAAGATATTGTCTCCCAATTGTTAAATTCTACAAATGGGAAACCGGGTTCAAATGTACCTGGGAGGCACATCTCCTGATCTGGAAGATCTGCTAGAAGTCCCATATGTCTGGTGTGAAAAGTGGCTACACTGTGGTGAAGGAAATGCGTGTTACACTTGCTCAGAGCCACTCTTAGTTCATTGACCATGTTCTAGGGCAGAGCCCTAGTAATCCCTGGCTCCTTCAGTTTTGGGTGTCATTAATGAGATGTACCCCCAAGTATGCAGGTATAGGATTGCAGCTTAATTGATTCTGCTGAATTACTTTTATGTTACTGTTGATTTTTTTAAAAAAATGCTTGCAGTGAAATCCAGCAGTTTAGAACCAATATTGAGAAGGAACATTTGTTTAAAAAGACTGTGCTTTCAAAAAGTATGGAGACTAATTTTCCCAAAGGCATTTCTTTACTGTTCTTGAAAATATGTCACATATTAGTATTGCTAGCATTTTCTTATCCCAAGATCCTGCTACTGCTACCATTTGTGGAGGCAGTGGCACACCTGCAGTCTGGGGGCCCTGAACTGTTATGGGGGGGGGGGCTTCGCAACTAGCAACGAGGTCTGGCTAACCATTCCCAAACTTTGGGAATGTTGAAATATACATAACGAAAAAACAATCAATTTGAGTCATGCAACTCAAACTGCATCTACTAGATGCAATGTGGACTAGTCAACTCTGGGGCCCCTCTGGAATTAGGGGCCCTGGAGTTTAAGCTTCAATGAGGAATTGACAACTGGGTAAGTGTCACAGGTAGGTGGGGATGGCTGGAGGTTAGAAGGCGTTGTGGGGGGATGGCTGGGCGTGGAAGGAGCTGTTGGGAGCTGATGGGTTTGGGTGAGCTGTAAAGTGGGGGTTGGCAAGACGGGGGTGTAAGAGGGTTGGCAGGCGACATGAGCAGAGACAGCAGACCCTAGTAAATAAATAAGATTTCAAAAAGGTGCATGGAACATTTACTGAGCCAACAAGGTGTTGAGAATCCAAACTGTGTTTCAGGGCATGCATCCTTTCTTCAGGGGAATGCATTACATAACCACTGAAGCTGCAGGCAAGAAACGTGCAGTTAGGCATAACCCCTTTGGTCAAAATAGTCCATTGTCCTGACCTCATCCTGACACATGGTTAGTTTTTACTGAATCCTCTCCAAATGTTGCCAGCACCTCACAATTGGCTCAGGGCTAACATCCATTGTTCACAGCGCTCCTCCGAGAGTTTTCTCTATTAAAAAAAAAAAATCCTGCTCTGGTACAAGCTATCAAGCCCCACCAATTTAAAGCTGTGTAGATTTAGTAGAGGCTGCTTAACCTTTGCCTTCCTCTACGCTACAGTGAATAGTTTTTCATTATCACTGCGGAACACAAATAAATCATCTTAATCCTTTCTAAATACAGCTCAAATACATTCCTGGAATATTGGCCTTTTTGCTTGCTTGTTGCATCACAACTGTCCCATTTTGGCATTCCTTGTTTAATCCCAACATTTCTTCTCCATTATGCTTAACCAAGTGGAAAGGTCCACTGAAAGGTTTAATTCTAACTAGTCAGGAGCAGAGTGCACAGGACCGAAGGTTTCATAATAAAATCTCTTTATGACCTCAAACAGCACCACAATTTTACAACATCGCTCTCCTTTGTTACACATAGAGAAGCACTTTAGCACATAAAATAAAATCAAGGTCTGAGGGAAATAATGGCTATTAATTGTTTCCATAAACTGAAATGTGTGGTAGTTTTCAGCAAATGATTAGTACCCCTTTACAGGCCTCTTTAAAGTTGATAGTCTCCTATGTACATTAAAAGCTTTGAAAATACAGAGATAAGGGAAATGAATTTTAGGCTATTCCTGTGCTGGCACTTGGGCTCCTTTAAAACTGAAGAAAGTTCCTGAGTCTTGAATCTGCTGGTATATTGGGCAGGTGTGAGTGGAAGGTAAGAGATGGGAGAAAATCCCAAACTGGATTGACAGTTCCAAGCTAATTCTTCAGTGGGACCACTGGGACTCCAGACATCCTTCCATGTAGTCCTCTGCTATGAAGATCCTGGTGTTAGGATACTTGCTCCGTGTTTGCAGTCATGAGATTGTTGTCTATCACATGACGGTATATGTTTTCATTCCACAGTGTGGGAAGTGACGGAGACAGGATGTTTATGTTACTGTGTTCCATGAAGTGGGACTATTGTCCTTTGTTCTTTCTCTCTTTGCTGTCTGATGAGAAAGAAGAAGGAACTAAGTCAGAATGCTCCGAGTGTATTATATGTAAATAAAACTAGATTAGCCAAAATGATGAGCTATTGAGTGTTATGTGAACTGCAAATACTATGCAGGATCGTAAGTGTGCTGATGCTTCTTGGTCTCAGTCACTGTGATGTTCGGGCGGAAGAAAGCTTTTGAAGCTCCTGACCGACCAGGAGGGAGAGAACCAGGGCCAGATTTAGATGAAGAGAGGCCCTTGGCTACTCCACTTGTGAAAATTGAAGAGTGTTATAAACAACATTGACATTGAGTGAAGCCAAGGATGATGACAGGTATTTAAAATTCTACAATCCACAATTTCTCCTCTAAAGGACATAAGATATTATTGTTAAATACCATGGTGATTTTAAAAAATGCATAAAATTAACACTGAAAAACTTTTGCAATAACTGAGCTTCGTAAACCTTTTGTGGGGTTGTGGCCTGGGCAAGCCTGGAACTAGTTCCCATGTCTTGTTCCTCTCTAAGGAATAAAGTTCAGCCTTCATGGCATTTACCCATGGCTCAGCATCCTCTGAGGTTAAGCTTAGGACCTCTTGGAAGCTTGAAGGTTCCCAAACCTTCTCTGAGTTACTAACAACAGCTGTATCTGCTATGACTATTTTAGCAAACTCTTCAGCATACCTTTTGGGTGGTTTACCCTTTGCGGCCCTTTCAGATCTGAGTACTATACACAAGTCTTCCATGCTAGGCTTCTCCTCTTTAGGAGAAGGGCAGGCCGGGTCTTCCTCTTATATACCTGCTGGGATTGACAAGGCATCTGACCCTCACCTGAATCTCATAGCTCTCCTGTAGCTGCCTCTGATTAGTTATCATTTAACTCTTGGGGAAAATAGCATCACACGTCATGTGCATGGAAGTTGCCCAACCAATTAGAAGGATTACTGTTAATAGCACCAGTTTTCCTATAACTTGATATTGCTGTTACAGATAGGTAGCCGTGTTGGTCTGCCATAGTCAAAACAAAAAAAAATTCCTTCCAGTAGCACCTTAAAGCAGTGTTTCCCAACCGGTGTTCCGCGGCACACTAGTGTGCCGCGAGACGTTACCTGGTGTGCCGTGGGAGGGAGGCGGATGCTTTCTCGTTCGCGCCCTGCAGCGAGAAGGGCAGCGCAGCGCCGCAGAAGAGGCCCAGGAGGCAGCAGGCACCCAGCGCGCGCCTGAGTCCTGCCCAGCTCGCCATGTCCGCCCGCAGCATTGGCGACCCGAGCCAGGCTCCGCGCGCGACGCCCATCTTATGGCGCGCGCCTCTGCCGAACGCTCAGCCCCGGCGCGAGCGGCTTAGCAACGCCGTCCAATCAGGGCGCATCTCGGCTGGGCGGCCACGGCATTCTGGGAAATGTAGTCCTCGGGCAGCAGCGGCATTCTGAGAAGGCGCGCTTCTTCGCCGCTGCGCCTTTTCTTCCTCATTCCTTCTTTGCTGGCAACGCAAAAAGAGGCGGAGGAGGAAGAGCTGCTGGAAATGCCTGCGTGGGCATCGGTGCGCGCAGGAGATTTAGGCCGGGTGGGGTTGTTAGAGTCAAGATTTTATTTTGTTTATGTCCATCTTGCTGTTCGTGATACTAAACTACTCTTTATAGATCTCGTTATAACTTGTGTGGGGATTGCTTAATTTTGTTGTGGGCGCTTTGATACGGTTTCTTATGAGTGCATTTGGGTAATTATGTAAATATTGCCATGTCGTAAGCCGCCTCGAGCATGGTTTTTAACTATGGAAACAGCATGCAAATGACGATGATATCTAGGGAGGTTTCAAAGGCTTTGTAAGCAGAGTGAAGGAAAGAAATCCAGATGTGATTGTTACGCATTGTTTTTTGCACTGTGAGGCCCTCGTAGCCAAGACTTTACCAGCAGACCTAGTTCATGTGTTGGATGATGTTGTGCGCATGGTAAACAGGCCCAGGTTGCGCACTGAATAAAGTATTTTATAATTTTTCATATTTCTGTTTACTTACTATTTCATAATAAAGTAATTATAAAATACTATCTTT